ACACAGGAGCACGCGCACACACACAGTAACACACACACACACACACACACACACACGCAGGAACACACACACACAAACATACACACATACGCAGGAACACACACACACAAACATACACACATACACAGGAGCACACGCACACACACACACACGCACAGGAACACACACACAGACAGGAACACACACACACACACACACACACGCAGGAACACACACACATACACACAGGAACACACACACAAACGCACACGCAGGAACACACACACACACAAAAATCAAGGACAAAAGCCGGTGTCCTGCCGTAACTCTCCCCCTCCACCATCCATCACCTCCTCCCGCCTCTGCTGCAGTCCTCACACACCAGAGACCTCAGAAAACGCCCCGTTTCCCATCATTTCGGATCATCTTTATTCTAAGAAAGCCTGTATTTCTAATAATAGCTCCCAGCCTCTCTGATGCTTATTGCTATCCCATCTGTGAACTCCATATTTATCAGGCCAAACCACATAGAGCAAAACCACATCACTGGTCAATCTATCCTATATTTTCTTAGGGGTCTTTATTTTCACGTTGTATTCATATTCTTATTCTTTGCTTAATTTAGGAGTTTTCATTTTTTAATTTTTATATATATTCTTATTTTCTTTCGGGTTATACACATTTAGTCTCTATTTAGTCAACTATTTTTTGTATTTTTTTTGCATTTAGCTCTCTGTGTGCCACTTTTTTGCCCTGTAAGCATCGCAAAAACAATAATGATAATAAGAAGAAATCAATTAAATAAATTTTATGGTACTTCAATGAAATTTTTATTAATTTTTATTATATTATATATATATTTTTATATATAAAAAATTACTGCACTGGAATGAAATTTAACTTGAAAATTCCGCTTTTAGTAAGAATCAAATAAATAATAATTATGTTAATCCATCTTTGATCTATACAATTTCCAATTCAAAAAGTAAATTTCCAACATATGACGAAGTCATAGAAAAATATAAATAAAATATAAAAATAAATAAGCTAAATTAGTTTCACTAGTTCCTGTAGTAAAGTCAGAGTGAGTTAGGGTTCCTCTTGTATCTCAGTCTCCACCTCTACCTCCGTTCACCAATAAAAACACTTTTATTCATTATTTCTTTATCATTTCTTTATTTTTCCATCTCTCTTCTATAAACCATTTGTTTTATTGCTATGTGTAATTATCTGCAGTATTTATTAAGGAGTTATCGTAGGTTTTTGGAACCAATTCTAGGAATTACAGAGTATTCTGATGGAATATCTGAACCAACACACCAATATTCAACATAGAAGTCAGTCCTGGAACCAGTTAGACTCCTATTTAGAGGTTTAGCTTTGCAATATCTATTAAGTAGGTTAATTAATTAGCTTTTTGGTACCAATTCTAGGAATTAAAGTGTATTCTGA